TATAAATATATAAATTAATATATATTTTTCATAATTATAATTTTAAAATAATAGGATTATAAATTAAATATATTTTGAATTTTTTAAATTTCTAATAATAGAGACAATGTATAATTAAAAAGTACCAATTTTGGGCGTTGTAGGGGTGCTAATCCTTCCCTAAACGTAACTGACCACGAATCCCTTTTTATTATTAAAAAGAACGAATTTTTGGTTATAAATGCATATCAGTTCATCTTTTAACTGATGTTTTCTTAAAACTCTTTTAAAAGATGATTTTTAGGTATTCGACTTACCTAACCCAAAAGGCCGATGGCGACTCCCAAAATATTTTAAAAAACCATTTATTCACATCACTTTTCCCGCCGAGTAAAAATTTCGTGCCCGGACGAAAACCGGTTACGACACACCCGTCGATATATCACCAATGAGCATAGTGATGAATGGTGGCGATTCAGCATACGTAACACTCTTACCTTCTGGATTCGCAATTCTTTCCCATACTTCACCTAGTTATCATGGCGGGCAAAGTAACTCCGATGGACAAATGGTAAAACCGGATGACAATGGGAGTATAAGCAGCAGTGGATGCATACTTACAGTTGGATTTCAGATTTTGGTGAATAGTGTTCCTACTGCTAAGATAACAATGGAGTCAGTAGAAACCGTTAACAATCTCATCTCCTGCACAATTAAGAAAATCAGAGCTGCACTTATGGTAACATAGTCCGAGCCATCTTGGTAAGGTTCCTTCATAATCAATTTACATATATATACATTGTGCTGTGAAAAATAAAGAAGATAAAGCGGAAAGTATAGGAGATACAGATAGAATGGGAATGAAATGGAGCTCGAGAAGAAGGGTTTCGAGTCAAGAACGAACCAATCTCGTGTGGAGTTTTGGTTCGGGTATTGACTTTGTCGACCTTTGAGATGCTCGGGTCTTGATTGTCTCACATTCGGTAAGCTTCTTTTATTTTATTTATTTTTGTCAAGGCAGTGAAGCTAATAGAGAAACACAGGACAAGACATTAGCAAGACTGGTCTTAATTTTCGTGTTCCGAATTTAATCAAAATCGTGGACCAGCTGTATCTTATATCAGTATATGTACTTGTTTACAGCCTGATTTGGTTTGTTTATTTCTTTAATCTGAATTGAGTTTGGAATCTTTTTTTCTTTTGTATTTTCAATGTTTTATGCTTTGTTTAAGCTTTGATCATGTGCTTTTTTAATTTATGGAATTACTTCCAGGTTGGTTCATGCTGTGGACCAGTCCTTAGTAGTGAGTAGTTCAAGAAATAAGTGTACTATAAAAACAGGCTCTAAACAAATGCTTGCATCTTTGTTGCAAATGACTTGGTTTTAAGATAGAAATGTTGGATTTTAACCGAAATTATCGGCTTTAACTGTTCTGTGGTGGAAGATGTTAAAACTCCAAGGGTGCGTTTGTTCAAGAAATGTAAGATTATCGGCAAGAATAAGATTACTGGGAATGTTATATTTTGTGTTTAGTTCGTTTAACAGGAATGTAAGATTACTGGGAATGTTATATTTTGTGTTTAGTTCGTTTAACAGGAATATAAGATTACAGTGTTTGGTTAAAGGAATAAAATATTATTGGAATGTATATTTTACCAAATTATCTTTATTATATATTTGTTTTTTAACAAGTTGAATTCTACTATAATTTTACTATAAATAATTTATATATTTTCTTTAAAAATTTTAAATTCATAAAATTTATTTAATTTTTTTTACAAAATTGAAAAGATAAACAAGTTTAATGGAAGGATAAAATTTTATTTTAACCCTAAACTTCATATAAAATTCTAATTACGATTTTTTTTTGGTAAATTTAAAATAGTTTAAGGATAAAATTATAATTTAACATTCGTATAATTTTTTATCTAACGACAGAAAAAGGATATTTTTGGAAAAAAATTAAGGGTATTTTAGTCTAAAACATCGGAAATGTAATAATACCTAAGGGAAGAGGGAAATCACATTCCTAGTAATATACCCTCAAAATACCACTATTGAAAATAAAAGATTATCGGGGTTGTGAATGTTTACGAATCAAACGGGAGAATGATATTCCATTTTCCCGATAATCTAATATAACTTGAACCAAACGCCCCCTAAAATGAAGGTCTAAATACATTTACGACTCGTTTAACACGTCTAGTATTGGTATGCTCGAGATGTTTATGTTTGATTTTGCCCGTGGTTTCTTTTCCCTAAACCAAGTGAACACCTCAAGAATACAATATCAGACGTTGTTGTTCAACACAGCATGAAGTAGAGAGTTTCACTGTCCCTTTTTGGCCCACCAACTTGCCAAAAAGCACACCTAATGGCATGAAAGCGTGCCTGATTCAAATGTGATTCCCACGGAGTACTTAAGTGCGGGCAAAGGCTGCTCTAACAGCACTAGTGGAGGCTCTCTGCTACAGACATACACCAGAAAGTTAGATAGCCATTGACCGTCGTAATATTACATTAGGACCCGCATGGAAGTGACTTCGGTGGCCAAATAATCTAGGCCGGAATTAAAAAAAAAAATTATAAAAAAATCCAATTTTTATTTTATGTAATAAATAGTTTAGAACCCAAAATAATTTTTTAACACTTGTATTTTCAAAAAATAAAATCCAATTTTTATTGCATGGAAATAGTTCCTCTCACGCCCGATTTTAGGGATGGTCATTTCATCTCGATATGAAAGATTTTGACTTAACCTGATTGGGTTTGTTTTTTATTTTGAAAATTTGGGTCAGGTCGAATTGAATTTTTTTAAGTGTAGGATTAGATCAGATTTAAAGTTAAAAAGATCTTACCTAACATAATATTATAGTTATCTTTTATATATTTATGGATAATTATAATAATAATCTTTTTATTTTGTCAATTAAGCTTTTATTTTGCTTAACAAAAATAAATTATATTCATGTTAGGTTAGGTGCGAGTTTTAACATTACAACTATATAGAATTTAAGATCGGATAAAATCTTCTTAAACTTGGGTCGTGTTTTAGGTCAAATGAAACCCTCTTAAAAACATGTCAGGTGTGGGCGAAAGGGTTTAAATTTTGATCGGATTTGGGTGAGCTAAAAATCGATCAGACTCGACCCATATTTATCCCTACTTCCGATCACACGTCAATAAGGCTCTTGGTAATACGACCACCAACTGAAGTCGCATTGTATTGTTCATAAAAAGCTCCCCCATCACTCCACGATTCTACCATTTACTACATATTGGAGCATGAAGACATGATCATTGTTAAAGATAGAGCAACAAGCAAAGAATCCTAGAAAGTGGGTGCATATTGAAGGCGGCATCTGCTCTGTCTTTATTTTAATTTTTGTTATTAGTTTTGTAGGTACAGTCGGCATCTTGCGATTGATTTGTAGAGAATGAATTGGACGGCCAAAGCTTGTTGCTTTACAATTGTGTCATGCAACGCATATAAAATATTTTTATATTTTATTTATTTGTATATTATTAATTTAAATATTTTTATATCAGAGCTAAATTTGTATTTTTGTCATATTCAATTAATAATAATCGAGTGTTTCTGTTTGATTAAAATCATTGATGTATCACATGTGCCGTAATTTATATCATTTCAGAAGTGGAAAATTAATAATTCCAACTAAGTGCTGGTTTAATATCCAACGCTGATTGTAGGGACACTGCTTGAATAAATGTCTTAAAACTTACATCTTCTTCATTAAAACAAACACTATACCCCTACCAACTTTCTTGTCTTAAAATAAAATTTGTAATTAGAATTTCGTTTAATTCGATTAGGAATTTTTTTGATACGATTCTTTTAAAAGAAGTAAAATTAAAGGGAAAAGAATAATCTATAAAGATTCTCACGTTGAAGTTCGAAAATCGTACTTCCCCTATCATTTTAATTGAATATGTGAATTCAATCTGTGCACAATTATATGTTTCCATTAATTTCTAATTTAAAATAATAATTTATATTAAAAATTCTTTGTAATATAATCTTTATTTCTCATCGAATAATTAACATATAAATAGATAAGAGTAATTATTGTGGTTTTTTTAGGGTTTCTCTTTTCTTTAGCCATCATTAGTTTTTTTTATTCTTTATCTGTGATCGGTGATAATATTAATCATGGTATTAATTATCGACTATCGGTATTCATTGTTATCCTTTTATATTATTATAGAGTATATTTATTTTTTCTTTTTTTTCTTTTTAAAATTTTAATAACTCTGTCTTTATGGCACGATTTCGGTCGTTTGGTCATTGTTCTCGATGGTCTCTCAATAGCTTGATCTATTTTGTGGTTCGTTTGTCGATGCGATCAAATCTATATGTATCTACCTTTTGTTCGAGTTTATTTGATTAGTTTTTTTTAACATTTTCCTTATATGATCATTTTGTGATCTTGAGTGGCTATTTTTTGCGTTAATGATTATAGAAAAATTTACTTATTATGTGTTTTGTATATGGTTATAGTTGTAAACTTTTATTGTAATTTGAATTTTTTTTTATTTTTAATAAAACTAGCCGTTTATATTAAAAATATATATAAATATACAACAATAATTAAATTTATTGATTAAATTTTAGAAGACAAAAAGCATCGCAATTACAAATCTTAATAACTTTAATATTATAATGATTTTTTTTCAACACATGATTTTGTTTTAAATTTTTATGTAAACATATATGTTATTTTTATTATGTATTGTCGTTTTCTTTTATATAATGCGTAACACTATTCATTTTATCTCGGTTTCAATAATTATTATTTGTTGCCGAATTGTTTAATATATATAACTTTGGCAAAAAGGGTGTGTATCTATAGACCTTTATACTTTTTTTAAGAAAGCAGAATTCTGCTACAAAAAAAAAACCAACTCATTACAACACATCATCCATCTAATAGCAAAGCATTACCAAAGAGAACAGATGCAAAACAAAGGCTAACAAGGAACATAGAAAACAACATCACAATTATGAAATACCCCATCTAACACAAAGGGTAATGTTCCTAGAGTCACTTCTGTTAATTGGCCAACCATCGAGTCGAATCTGGATATCAGTTTTAATGCTCAGCAGGATATCACTCATCGACCTAAGCAATCCACTGTACAGTCTGTTGTTCCTTTCTCTCCATATGACATACACATAGCTTGTCAAAGCAAACTTAAACACTCTCGTGAGAAGGGACTTTCCTTTAAGGCAGTGAGCAGCCCATGAAAACTCGCCTTCCCAGTGGCTTACTCTTCGGTTAACTCCACAGAGCAGAAGGATGGCCTTCCACAGGCTTTTAGCATAATCACATTCAAAGAAAATGTGATTTCTAGTCTCAGGCACCAAATCACAGAAGAGACATCGATCATTCTCTATTACTAGTCCCATTCGCATCAGTCTAACCCGGGTGGGAAGCCTATCCAAAATGGCCATCCACGGAATTATGTTGTGCTTAGGGATGCGCTCGGAAAACCAAACCAGATGATGCCAAGCAACCTTTGGAGCCACGATGCGCAAGTCCTCCCATATCTGCCTAGTACTGAGGGCACAATCACGGTTAACAAAGAGATGATTAACCGAATGTCTCATCTTCAACAGCTTTTTGAAATTCCAGCTAGCATTAGTAGGAGGAACCATATGCCAAAAATCTGCATTTTTAATAACATAAGACCGAGTCCAAGCCACCCACAAGGAACCCTCATCAGCCAATAAGTTTCGAAACAACCTCACAGAACAAACCCTATTCCATCCTTGTATATCAATAACACCAAGGCCCCCTTCAGACTTTGAAAGACAGATCTATCTCCAGCTCACCCTAGCTCCCTTAGCAGGAAGATCAGCACCCTTCCAAAAATATCGAGAGCATAACTGCTCAACTTTCTTGATTACCCCCCGAGGAAGCATAACTTGCCTACACCAATAATTAGTTAGGCTGAACAAAACAGAACGCACTAACTGGAGCCTGCCAGCAAAACTCAAATGTTTATTTTCCCACAAGGTCAACCTAGCTCTGATTTTATCAATGAGACTAAGGCGGTCTCTCTCTGTGAGCTTCTTAGTCACCAAAGAAATTCCTAAGTAGAGAACATGGAGTTTTCCTAATTTAAAACCAGTGCCCTCACTGATGGCAGTGCATTGAGCAGCAGTTAACCCCGCTACAAAAATCTCACTTTTGTTAATATTGAGCTTCAACCCAGACATGAGATAGAAAACTTCCATAACAGCTTTGACACAACTAATAGAGTCAACAGAGGGCTTGCAAAAGATGAGGAGATCATCCGCAAAGCAAAGATGGGTTAAACCGATCCTTTTACACTTGGGATGATAATTGAAAATCCCCTTAAGAGCAGCCAGGTTCAATAGATTTGATAATACATTCATGGCAAGCACAAAGAGATAAGGTGAAAGGGGGTCACCTTGCCTAACACCACGAGCCCCCCTAAAATAACCAACTAAACTGCCATTTATTACAATCGAATAGCTAGGCTTGGTAAAACAAGCAGAAATCCAGCTAATAAATCTAGCAGGAAGGCCAAGAGCAGTGAGAACAACAACTAAGAAATCCCAATTGAGAGAATCAAACGCTTTCTGTAGATCCAACTTCAAGGCACATCTAGGGGAAATGTTCTTTCTACTATAGCCCCTAATAACCTCTTGGGCAAAGAGGGTATTATCCACTATACTCCTACCTTTAACAAAAGCAGTTTGATTCTTTAAAACCATGCTAGGGAACACAGTAGATAATCGTCTCACTAAAATCCTTGTAATGGTCTTATATATCACTGTGCAGCATGATATAGGCCTGAAGTCCTTGACAAGGCTAGGATTTGGCACTTTAGGAACCAAGACTACAGCAGTGGCATTAAAGGCAGGGAGAATAAAAGATATGTCAAAGCAATACCTGATAGCAGCAACAAAATCCACACTCACTATGGACCAAGCTTTCTTGAAGAAGAAGGGATTAAAGCCATCAGGCCCAGGAGATTTATCATTGCCTTGCCCCTAAATGGCTTCTTTAATTTCAGCATCAGAAACATCTCTGCACAGTTCGCCGTCAGCGCCTGTAGGGAGTGAGAAATTAAGAAGACCCCTAATAGTAGAAACAGTGCTACCCAGGACATTATCATCTACCAAACCCAGCTGATTCTGGAAAAATTTAATCACCTCAGCCAAAATACCATCAAAAGAGTCTAATCTATTCCCCGCTTGGTCATAGAGAACTCTGATTGTATTACTCTTTCTTCTGGTAGCCACTACTGAGTGGAAGAATTTCGTCCCTTGGTCACCCTCCTTGATCCAATTGGCTTTAGCTTTTTGTTTGTAAAATAGTAACTCAACCTCTTCAAGATTTTTAGCTCCCTTTCTACTTGAAGTTCATTCTCAATGCTGCTGCCAGCAGAACCCCATTGAAGATTAGCAAGCTGAATACTAAGGAGTTCCTCTCGCCTCTGTTTCACCTTATTTGAAATGTCATTGAAATGAGCTTTATTTAAAGCCTTGAGAGAGCACTTCAACCTCTTCAATTTTTGGAACAAAACCTGAGCTGGATTTCCAACCATTGGTTGCTGCCAAAAATCTCTCACAATGTTTAAAAACCCCGGGTGCAAGGCCCAAAAGTTGAAAAATTTGAACGGCTTTGGCTTTGCAGTAGGGGCTGCCTTGTGGAGCCACACAAAGGCAGGGCAGTGATCCGAGTCCCCAGGGGCCTGAAACTCCACTGCAAAATCTGGGAAAACATCGATCCACCTTGGGTTTATCATGACACGATCAAGCGAGCCAAATAAGTATCATGCTGTTTATTTGACCAAGTGAAGCAAGGACCATTGTAGGGGTGATCAAAAATCCCCAAATTATCCACACAATTCCAGAATTCAGAACTGTCAACCAAAGTCGAGGAACTAACATAAACCGAGCTTTCCTCGACATTCAAGATGATGTTGAAGTCACCACCTATAAGCCATGGAAGATCTCCCACAGTACATTCCAGAGAGTTGAGTTGACTCCATAACTGCCTCCTACCATTTCCCTCATTCAAACCATAAACAGCAGTAAGAATAAAAGTGTTACCCCCAATAGCACATCTAACAGAAATACATTGGTCAAAAACAAAAACAACTGAGCAATCCATACATCTACGCCAGAGAACCCAAATTCGACCGTTGGCAGCATGATTATAATTACAGCAAGCTTCCCAATCACTAAAATTTCGACTTAGAATAGCCAAAGAGCTATCAACCTTAACTCGAGTTTCCAATAAGTAGAGAACATCAATTTGGCAATTTGCAGCCCACCTCATCACTTTACCTTGCTTGCGAGGATTATTAAATCCTCGAACATTCCAGTAGCAAATTAACATAAGGGATTTAGGGAAGAAGAGGCACAACCTCTATCCTCCAACTTCATAACTTTGTCAACCTGCTCCTTCTTCTTTAATTTCAAATCCTGGACCAGTTTAGCTACCCCAAGCGAAGCTTCTCGTTGCTTCTTACCCGAGTCCTCAACCGGCTGCAAATGTTCAGGATCAATGGAGGCCAGAATCTCAAATTTATTCTTGGAGCCCCCCATAGTAGTTTTACCTGGCCTACCTCTTCCACGCTTCAATGGGGGGTTGCTACCAGGAGGACCCTCCTTAGTGATCTGTTTAGTGCCATCTTTAGCTCCATCCCCTGAAGCAGCTTGAGCCTTGTCTAAACAAGTATCAACAACACCTTCAGAATTACATGGATCAATCTGCTCAGTCTGAATGCTACCTCCAGGAGCTACTATAGGATTTTGCTTCTCAGCCTCAACTATACTATTATTTACAGTATCATCTAGTTTAGCTTCATATACTGTTTGCTTTACCCTCCATTCTTGCTTCTTCCCCAGAGGGCAGAATTTAACAGAATGCCCAAATCTCTTACACTCCACACAAGATGAAGGCCTCCAAGGAACAACAACCTTAATTCGGGCAATAGAATCATCGCAAAGCAACACATCTATGTAATCTGGAATCTTAGAATTTACAGAAATTTCTATACAAACCCTAGAAAACTCCAATCTCTCCCTAGAAGCTGTAATAGAGTCCATGTGAAGAGGCTTACCAATTGCACTTGCAATGTAGCTTAAACCGCTCTTTGAAAATAATTCCAAGGGGACATTGAAGAGCTGAAACCAAATTGGCATGCGATCCAAATCGAAGTGCAGCTCCTTCAAATTCGGCTCCCACTTCCTAAGGAAAAGAGGCTTGTGTTGAATATGCCAGGGACCATTCTCTAAAACCCAGTCCCTGGAATACGAACCAGTAAAAGCAAAAACAAAAAGATTGGATCCCGCAATGCTCACCTTCACCGGAGCAGCCTTGTTCCACATCAGGTCAAGCGTCTTCTGCAACAACCCAAAATTGGGAGTTGAGCCTATAAATTGCCCAACAAGAGCGTACCTCCATTCTAAGATCCCATCCTCGAATATGTGCTTCGGAGGTTTCACAATAAGCGAACCCTCAATCTCCGTTGGAGGGAAGAAATCTAATTCTTGCTCATTGCCCGCCGCAAACAATTTTCTCCAATCAGTTGCAGATCCCGTAGACATCGCCAACAAAACCCCCAAATCGCAAGCAGAATCAAAAAAAAATTCAATCTAGTCGAGAAATCAGAAGGAAAGGATGACTCGTCTTCAATCGTTGTTAGTCTTGCTAACATGCACCGAGAGAGAAGACTTAACGTACGTCATCCTTTTTATTGTTAATATTAACATAATTTATTTATTATTAAAATATTTTTTTATAATTTTATTAATAAAAATATTAATATTGGTATATTTTATTGGAATAAAAATATTATAAATTATATTAATTATTTATTAAAGTAATATTATTATATTATATTTTAAAAATATTAATTAGTATATTTTAAATATATTTATTAAAATATTATTAGATTATTATATTAATATTAAATATATAAATAATATTATTCATTATTAATAATTTAATAATATTATTTCTATGAAATTAATAAATAATATAAATTTTATTAATAATTTATTATTATATATTATTAAAATAAAAAGATAATATCTTATATTATTATAATATAATTGATTATTTTATTATAATATTAAAAATACAATATTATATTATTAGAAATGTTAATAAATATATTTTAAATATTTTAATAATTAATATTTTGATTAAAATTGTTGAAAAGATTTTGATGTTTCGATATAACAAATTAAGGGTTAGAGAATTTTAAGATTTCACAATCATTTTTAAAGTATATTCGATTCAATAATTTGAATATCAAAATATTATTCCAAATTTTTCAAAAATCAATTTCAATCCTTAATAAAGTGTAAAACTGTGTTTTAAACTTAAAATATTTTTGAAACAATTTTACAAAGTATTTCGAACCAAAATCGAGCCAAAAATCAATTTTATGAAGGGATGTACCGATACACTCCATGATGCATCGATGCACACCCATTTCGAATGCCTTTTGTGTATCGATGCACTCTTGAATATTTTGAAACATCGAATGCATTTTGTGTACCGATGCACAGACCATGCATCAATGCACCCATGGCTCTTTTGAAACATCGAATGTAATTAGTGTACCGATGCACCCCTAGTGTACCGATGCACTAAGTCTTATAACAGTTGAAATATTTGAATTTTACACATAGTGTACCGATTCACCTTGAGTATGTATCGATGCACACATGTTCCCAACTATTTTATTTAATTGTTTTCACACAATAACGGCTCTATTGACTTCATCAATGATCCCCAACTTTCAAAAGTGATCAAAGGTGTATTTAAACAAGCTTAGAAGCCATTGATCAACAATAATTGTGAGAGAAACAAAGAGAAAGCTTTAAACATCAAGTTTGAGCAATTCAAGCCAATTTTTATTCAATATTCTTTTTTGCTTTCAAGAACACCTTTTGTACTCAATTGTATTCATTCTTGAGTGTTATTTCTTTGTTCTAGAATTGTGCAAACATCTTACCTTGTGAGGTTTTTCTGTAAGTTTGCAAATTTGTGTATTTCTCTTTGGGAGAGAGTGTTCTCAAGAATTTGGGGTATAATTCTTGAGGGAGTTGTAAGGTTACTCTTTGTCCTCAAAAGAAAGAACAAATTAGTGAATTTGTTGTAAAATCCTTAGTGTGGATAACTAAGGTAGTGGACGTATACTTTGGTTGAGAAAGTCGAACCACTCTAAATCGATGTGCAATTATTTTCTATTTTTTGCAAAAACTTCCACCAAAACTTTTATTACCAATTCACCCCCTCTTGGCTATTTTGTCGATCGATTAACTCAATAATTGGTATCAGAGCCTCACTCATTTGAAGGTTTAATCACCTTTTGAGTCGATTCAGGAAGAGTTATATCGATATTCAAGTCATCAATGGCCTCCACTTCAAACTCTGACTTCGGTCTTGATTCTATGCCCGTCAACAAGTCTCCTTTCTTAAATTGAGCTAATTATGCTTATTGGAATAATAGAATGAGGTATTTCATTCAAGCAAGTGATATGATAGCATGTAATATCATAGAAGACGAATACTTCATTCATTCCACTCATTCAAGATTGTGGAGTGAAGCAGAGACAAAAATGTTCCAGCTCAACTTAAAGGCTATCCATATTATTTTTTTTGCTCTTGACCAGATGAATACGGAAGAGTTTCATCTTGTACAACTGCCAATGAGATATGGGATAAACTACAAGTCACTCATGAAGGCACAAACGAGGTAAAAGAATCTAAAATTAGTCTTCTAACTCATAGCTATGAAAATTTCAAGATGAAACATGATGAAGACATCAAAGCTATGACAGATAGATTTTTCACTATTGTCGATGGTCTCAAATCATATGGAGAGATCATTCCAAACGAGAAGCTTGTAAGGAAGTTAGTCTACTCTCTTCCAAAATCTTGGCAATCAAAGAAGACGACTATCATCGAGGCTAAAAACTTAAAATCCTTGACCCTTGATGAGCTTATCGGTTCTCTCCTCACGCATGAAATGATGCTTCAAGATGAGGTAGATCTCGAGAAAATAGATGAGCCAAAGAAGGAGACGGAGAAGAAGAAAAATTTTGGAATTGCTCTCAAATCCACAAAAGATGAGAGTGATTCGGATGAATATGATGATGACGAGGAAATGACATTATTTGCCAAATGGTTCAGAAAATTGATGAAGCCCAACCGAGAAAGAAAATTCAAACGAAATAAAGGCTTCAAAAATGAACCGAATGAGAAAGGCCATATTATTTGCTATGAGTGCAAAAATCTGGGCCATGTCAAATACGATTACCCATAATTGAAGAAGAATGGTCAATCGAAGAAAAAACACAAGGCTCACGTGGCTATATAAAGCGATGATGAATGTTTCGATGAAGAGGAACAAGAAGTAGCAAACTTGTGCTTGATGACCATCAGGGAAAACTCTCGGGTAACCTCTAGCTCATTTAACTTCGAAGATTATTCTTTTGATGAGCTGTTAGAGGAATATACAGGGTTGGCTTCGGATTATGAGAAATTATTTTTAAAATACAAAAATGATATTTCAAAATTGAAAATAATCTCATATTCAAGACCAACATTGATCTTGAAAGCAAGGTCAAAGAATTGGAAATCAAATTAGATGAATTTGAAAAGAAAAATACTGATTTGCATAACCTACTTTCAAGAGTGAATGATGATCATCAAAAGAAAATTGATGATCTTAAAGCTTCTTTTGATAAAGATAGAACAAAACATTTTGAAAATTGAGAAAAT